CATGGACTGGCCTCAGCAGCCGGTCGCAGGCAGGATCTGGGCAGCTGGGTGCCGCTTGTAGAAAGTGAAAGCACGTGCCCGGCCGTGTGGTGGCTCCACCCCGATAGCAGAGATGGGGTGCTGATCAAAATCTGGTGCTGGTTCCCCGGGGGCCAGAGGGTGGGGGCTAGGGCTTGCACTTAATCTGACAGGCCTCATTCCTTTAAAAGGAAGGGACCTCAGCTGGCCACAGTGCTTGCCACGTGGATGCTCTGGTGAGGTCCTGGTGGCAGTCAGGCGGGGCCCCTGGGAAGGTAGGAAGGAAGAGGCAGAAGTCAACCAGATCAAAGTGAAAGGCCCGCAATGGACGAAAACACCAGAGAAACATGAAGAGGGCCAGCAGGACCTGGCACGTGACCACCGTCCCCTACAGAAAAGTACGGCACTGTGTGTTCTCACTGGGCCCCTGGAACCCGGCCCGAGAGTGTGGCCCGTTGACCCCCCACACTCCAGCAGATCGCCGAATAGCACCCCGGAAGCTGGGCGAAGCTCTCCACTGGGCCCGAAAGGGCATATTTATGCAAACATTTCTAGTAGCTAAGGCCTGCGTGGGGGGAGGGAAGTGCTCGACTTAGTTGGAGTGCCCGATTGGAAGTGTGAGTGACAAAAATCTCCTTTGTTCTCGCTGTTGCAATGAAGTGACGCCCACAGGCCTCTGGCATTTCCTTTCCTTGAGAATCCAGGATCACAAACGATGCTGGTACCAATGGTGACATTCGCTGTATTTTAGCGTATTTGATTTATACACAGGACATGAACTATCTTATGGCAACGTGTATAATGGTTGTTACTCTTTTAGAGTAACATTTTATCCAAAGGTCTGAAGCCACTGGGGGAGATGCCGAGCCCTCACCAGGCTGACAGGCCGGCTACTATAACCCAGGGATCTGGAAGTCTGTCTCAAGCAAGACTGGAAACCCAAGGCTATGGGGGCTGGCACAGGTGGTTTCTAAGGTCCCTCCTAGCTTTGTAACTGTGAGCAAAGCTTGAGGGAGAGGACCCATGGAGTAAACAGGGGCTTCTAGGCTGTGTATGGGCTCCGGTGGCCCAGTAGTGCCTATGGCAATACTCCCCCTGAAGCAGGGCATTTCCTCCAGCTGCTGGGGTAACACACAGCTGGCACAGCTCTTCTGCCCAGGGGTGTCCCCAGCCCGCCAAGGAGACAGGGCACGGGAGGACCAAGAGGGAATTCCTCAGAGCCTCGGCCCTCTTCTCTGCATCTCAACCATCCAGCCTGTGCGAGGAACGGGGTCACCAGGGCTGATGTGGGACATCAGGCACCTGCACAGGCGGCCAGGTTTAGCAAATAAAAAGGGGGGGCGTCATACTGCAACATATATGAACCTCAGAAACGTTATGTTGAGAGAAGCCAGACACAAAGACTGCCTATTGTATGACTGCTGATAGGACATGTCCGGAACATGAGAATGCAGAGACAGAGGTTAGTGGTCAGCAGGGGCTGGGGCAGTGACCATCACTGCGCACGGGTTTCCTCTTGTGTGATGGAAACTTCTGGAATGAGACAGAGGTTGCGGCTGCACAGCCAGTGCATTGTGAATTTCACCTCAATTCAAAAAAGCTTTTTTTTTTTTTTTTTTAAATTGTGATTTGGGTAAAAGTTTACACAGCAAATTCATTTTCTATACAGTTCATACACATCCTGTCTTGTGACATTGACTGCAATCCCCACAATCTAACAGCTCTCTTCCCACTTCCTCCTTGTAGTTACCTCTTCCCTGTGTCCTTCCCTCTCATGCACTCCCCTCCTCCAGCCGAGTGGGTTTGCTCCCTGTGCAAACCCTGCCCCTCTGTTCTCCCACAATCGACCACTCCAAGGGGTGCATCTGCCTGATGTAAGTGTTCACTCTGCATGCCTGTCTGTTTGGCTGGAAGCCACAGGAGTGGGTTCAATTCCAGACCCGAAGGGCAGCTAGGAGCCATAGTCTCGAGGGACTCACCAGGCTGTGTCAGACCAGGAAGCCTGGTCTTTTTCTTTTACGATTTTGAGTTTTGCTCCACACTGTTCTCCCACTCTATGCAGGATCTTCTATAATTTTTTGTTTAATTTGCACTGTATGGAGCTGTGTTTGGTTTGGATTTTGGTTATTGACTTCTCAACGTAATTACGTTGTGGTCCGAGAAGGTGGTCTGTGAAACACTGAGCCTTCAAAATGAGCTGCTTCTGGCTGTACAGCGAGGATGTGATTTTTTTTTTTTTTTAATTTTTGGTGGACAACAGGCAAAAGGTGGAGACCACCGACATGTGCACCAACAGATGATGGATAAACGTGGGGTCCACACACACAGTGGAATACCGCTCAGTGGAGTCCTGCTGCACGCCACCACACGGGTGACCTGGTACACGTCATGCTGAGAGAAAGCCGCCAGTCACAAAGAGGACAAACATGTACATGAAATCCGCAAATACCTAGAAATCAAACCTTATTCATGGTTACCAGGGGTGGGGGGGAGGGGAGTTACTGTTTAGGGGGCTGTTGTGGATTGAATTATGTCCCCCTAAAATCTGGGGTGTCAGTCCTCATCCCTATGTCTGGGTTTAGACTCCTACTTGGGAATGGGCTGTCTTCGTTAAGTTCATGAGGCAGGATTAGTGTAGAGTGTGTTGTGAGATATAAAAGAGATGAAACGGGAGCAGAGAGACATGGGGTTCGATAGATGCCAAGCCACGTGGAGATCTCCAAAGAACCAGGACGGAGAAGCTGAAGGGACAAGGATCTTTCTCCAGAGCAGAGAGTGCGCCTTCCCTGAGAGTTGGCACCCTGAGGTCAAACTTCCAGCCTCCTAAACTGTGTGAAATAAACGTTTGTGAAAGCCCCCTGCCCCCACCACTTGCGGCATTTCTGTTACAGCAGCAGTGGAGCGCTAAGGCAGGACCACGTGTTCGCTGATGGCAGTGGACCAAGGCGGAAAAGGACAGCGACAAATAATGCCCGACATGAAGCGTGTAATCAAAGTCACTGAATTACACGTGTTAAAACTGTTGAACTGGCCAACGTTTTGTTATGTATATTTTTACCACCATAAAAGGAAATGTTCATTAAAAACACAGGACGCCCAATGACACTGGCACACGAGCATGCCCCCTGCAGCGCTGACCCCTTTCACCCTCTATCTGGCACCCCGCCGGGAGCCGGGCAGCGGAGGACTGGGGACAGGTGGTTCCCCTGCCGTCAAAGCTCACTGCTCCACCCGGCCCTGCCCTGTGTGCTGCTTCCCCTGAAGCCCCCCTCAATCACCCTAACCTGAGAGTACCACCTGTTTCCTGCAGGGACCTCCCCTGACCCAGGAGACATATGAAAAGCAGAAGGTTCACAGGTCAGTTATTACATCAAAATGAAAGTCACTGGTGCCCGCAGCTCGAAGGTGAGGAGTGGATAAAACCAACCCCTTGGCCCCTCTCAGGGACACACACTGGGAGGCCAACCCCTCGAACGCCCGAGTCACTGAAGACTTTGGGGGTGGCACACACTCACTTGGTAGGGGAGTGGCCCCCCAAGGCCCTGGTGCCCCTAAGTCTCTAACTAAGCCACCAAGGAGGCCTCTGCAATGGAAGAGCAGGCCCTCTGGGGACCCCAGAGCCGGTTTCCTTTTCTCCGGCCCATGGCTTTAGAATCAGAACTTAGAACTGATCAGAGCCCAGTGTGTGGGTCAGCCCCGCCTATGTGCCCAGCCCAGGCCACGTCCAATGTCAGATGGGTGAGCACATCTCACCCACCAGGTCTGACCAGAGGGTCTGCTTTACAACTCTCCCTGGGTGAGCAGCATGCTGGGAGTGTGGTAGAAGTCTTGAGTCAGGAGATGACAGTTGGTCAGGACCTGGGGGATGGGGACACAGGGATCCTCAGGCGGGCTCCAAGTCTCCAACAGCAACAGACACCCAGCCCCGTAGGGGTGTAGAGATGCTCTCCAAGGATATCTAAGTTGCACTCTGGCTCCAAGGCTATACCCAGGAAGCACCTTGCAGTTTGGGTGTTGGTTTAAAGGAGAAAGGCTGGTGGCATAGAATCTGCTTTCCTGCCTGGTTGCCTAGAAGCGCATGGCACCTGGGGGCCCTTCAGAGACCGAGGGATGCGCACTTTGCTGTGTTTGGCTTTGCAATCCTGTGGTTTGCCCAACCCCTGTGGGTGGCTGCCTTTTCTTTGCAAACCCCATCTCTGGTGTACTGGTGGAGTCCTGGTGGTGCAGCGGTTAAACACTTGGCTGCTAGCTGACAGGTTTGTGGTCGAAACCCACCAGCTACTCTGCGTGAGAAAAAAGTGGCAGTCTGCTTCTGTAAAGATGACAGCCTTGGAAACCTTCTGGGCCAGTCCCACTTTATCCCACAAGGTCACTGTGAATCTGAATCAACTGGGTGGCAGTGGGTTTGCTTTGGGTCTGGGTGGTGGGTCAGTCATCTGGATCCACTCCACCCTGTCCACATAGGATCCGAGATGGCATGGTTTCCACGTGACTTGCCTGCAGCCAACATGAAGGGCACGTCAGCTGGGCAGTCACAGCTCTTGGGGTGAAATCTAGCCAGTTGCTGGGTGTGTGGTGGGTGCCCTGGCCTCCCTGAGCTGTTCACCTCTGGGGACATTTACACATTTCTGGTTTGGGACACAGCCCTGCCTTCTCCTGTCTCCGCTGGTGAATTTCTTGGGGTCCTCACCTGCCCCCCCAGTTTTATTTTTCAACTGCAGAAAATTTACAAGAACAGTACAAGCCACACCCTTCCCCTCGATCAGGCCCCACTTGCTCCAGCTCTTTGACAGAGAGCTGCCATGATGAACACGTTTGGTTATTCACGTCCTGTAGCGTGGCCCTGAAGGAAAAGGCCGCCTTCCACCGACCGCTGTCCCCCTGTCACACCCAAGAAATGAACATCAGAAACACAAAGTTGACTCTGAAGTCTGCTTCACCACTAGGGGACTGATGGCTGCAGGGCGGTTTCTTTCTATAGTTTAAAGCTTTTTCTCCTCAGGGGGCAGTCTGTGGTGACTATCTAAATGTGTCAGGAACAAAAAGGCAAAATGGAACTGCAGGACATCACAGACTTTGGACCAGAAGTGGCCTGTCAGGTGCTGGAAGGGACCCCACCTTGCAAGCTCCTGGTCCCACAGCTTGAGGACCACGAAGCCCAGGCAGGAGAGCACGCCCAGGGCTAGGTATACACCTGAGGTGGCACTGCCAGCCCGTGCCTGGGCCCGCAGGGCTTGCCCCACCACGGCCAGGATGTGCAAGCCCAGGGCAACCTCAAAGCCACAGGGGTGCAGCAGGGACAGGCCGTAGCTGGCTAGGGACAGGCATTCGACGCAGAGGAGTGACCAGGGCCACCAGCCCTTGTCCAGGTAGAGGCACCAGGCCACCGGCCACGCAAAGATGGGCAAGGTGAGCCACTGGTCGAGCACGGCAGCAGGGTGTGCCTGTGTCCCAATGCGCAGCCACTGCACGGGACCATAGAGGAGGGCCATGGCAGCAAAGACGCCCCTCAGGTGACGGGCCCGTGACGCCTCTGCTGAGCACCCAGGCACGCCTCCGTCCCTGTCCAGCCAATACCATCCCAGGAACATGTAGGCCACGTTGATCAGCGAGTTGAAGGGCATGGCGAGGAAGGCGGGGAGGCTGGCCACGGGGGCCTCTGCATAGTGCTCGTAGCCTACTTGGACGAAGACACCCTCGAAAACACCTGTGTGCACAGTGGCTGCACAGAGGCAGCCAGCCACAGCCACTTGCAACAGGGCCTGCTTCGACTCTGGCTTCATCTGGAAACTTCTCTCTTCTGAGCAGAGACGCTGAATACAGGTCTGAGAGCTTCAAGAAGCAGCCCCTTCACTGCTGTTTCCAAGCCCAGATAAACAGCCTTTGCACGAGCCTCCTCCCCTCACAGCTGGACCAGCAGGACCAAGGCCTGGGATTCCGACACCGACACTGTGGCCTTCTCCAGGTGCGGCGGTGGCACCAGCACAGAAAACCCTCTGTCTTCTTCCTTTGTGGTCACAAAAAAGAGCGTGATTAGAGAAGCCATGGTCAAAGATCAAAACAAACAAAATGCAGAACGTGAGTGGCAGGGTGGTGGGGGGACCCAGAGGCCTCACCTGATTGGTAGGAATGCGGTATGGAGCAGCCACTGTGGCAAACAGTTTGGTGGTTCCTCAAAAAGTTAAACCTAGCACAACCGCATGCCCCAGCAATTCCACTCCCAGGTCTACAGCCAAAAGAAGCGAGGGCGGGAACGCCAACAGAAACCCGTCGGCCAGGGCTCACTGCAGCACTGTGCCCAACAGCCGGGGGGCGGACACAACACAGGTGTCCACCACCAGGCGCCGGATAAACAGAATGTGGTCCATGCCCATGAAGGAATATTCCTCAGCCCTAAGGAGAAATCAAGCCCTGATTATCTCCACAACATGGCTGAGCCTTGAAAACATGACGCTGGGCGGAAGTCATGAAGGGGCACGTGGTACATGACCTCACTTACACAAACTAAGAAACCAAAGGTGAGCAGTGGTTACCAGGGCTGAGGGGAAGGGGGCGGGAGCGCTTTGGCTTAGCGGGCTACGGTTAGTTTCTGTCGGTGGTGGTGGTGGTGGTGGTGGTGGTGGTGGTGGTGGTGGTGGTGGGGATGATTCAGAGAAAGGGCGGGAATGGCTGCACCACTTCAACAGTGCCTTTAGTGTTGCTGAACCACATGTGTAGAAATCACGCAGTTATCTGTGTTTTCTTCTGTGTCTCTTCACCACAACAATAATAATAATGATAAAGTGGCGGCCATCCCCAAAACTATCTCCATCTTCCTGACTCAACCTCCGGCTGCACCGATGGGTTTCTGCACTGATTTTTGTGCTACAGAAAGCGTGGTTGCTACCCTAGTTCCCTAAAGCCACATGCGCTGCTGGGTGGTACTTCATACGGCCCCGGCTAGCCAGAATCCTTGGGCCTGCCATCAAATGACTGGGCAAGACTATGCAAATGAGGTGCTCTGGCCCACCAAGGGGACTGACCAGTTTGCTAATAACGTAAATAAGATGCGTGGCACCCTTGTGGGGGTGGAACCAAGCAAGTAGGATGTCTGGAAGCCTAACGAGGGCATTGGTCAGTCTGGCCATCATGCTAGACTTAAAATGAGCCCTCCCAGACACAGAAAGTGGGGAGCTGAGTACTGCCAAGGAGAGGGGGAAGTGGAGCTTGACCTTTGGAGCCAGGGTCCGTTGACTGGAAACCTCTCAGATCTGGGAGACAGAAAGCAGTAACATCAGAGACGGTGACATAGTAAGCCGCGGGCAGACAGAAACACCCTCTGTCCATCTTTTGACTTCACAGGACTTCAGGGCTCTACTCAAACATTACACATCACAACCAGACACACCGTCCCACCTCCAGGGGTTAGAAACGCCGACATAACGGGGATATTTCCAGGCCACCCCCAATGCCCTTTCACCAAACATCCCATTGAACAGAGCGAGTGGCCAGTGGCCTGGGCAGAGAAGGGCGAGGGTCTGCCCTACTCTCAGGCAGCGCAGGGAGCTAGCCCTGTCCCATGGCCTCCCAGGCCGCCTGCCCGTCGCCCCGACGCTGTCCTGCCCCAAACCACCTTCTTTCCTTCGTGTACAACAAAACCTGCCTTTTCCTTGCAGTCACAGGGCAGACCACTGAAAGACAATGTGGAATTATCACCGATCCGCAATTGCTTTGGGGATTGCTGTGGCGAGAGTTGGCCTAAAAGCCGAACACGTATTTGTCTCAAAGAGAAAAGAGGCCGGAACTCAGAAAATGACTCAGCCCAAGGTGGTCGCCAGCAAGCGGGCCTAGGGTTTCGCGTACCATGATGCCAAACTGGCTGCCACAAACTCTGGTCCCACTTACCACCTGCAGAACGGGGGTGTTACCAGCATCCCAAGGGGAGCTTTGTGTGGAGCCCAGCTCACTGCCATGTAGCGCTTCAGCCGTCCGTGTGGCCCTCAAGTGCCCATCAGAGGGCATGAGGCCACGTCCCTCTGCTCACCATCCTCTGTGGCCGGCTCCCCACTGCACAGTCGCTATTGGGCCCGCTAAGCGCCTTCCCCCCAGCCCCTGCCAGCTCCCCAGCCTCAGCCTGCCCGCCAGTTCTCCAAGCCCTAAGCCCTCCTGTCTTCAGGCCACCACAGAGAGCTGCTTCCTTGGCTCCTGGTAGCTCACGTCCCCAACTCACATGTCATTTCCTCTCGGTCTGGGGTCAGGAACTTCCCCAGGCAGCTGGTTCTGGGTGGTTCTGACCTGTGCCAGCCGAGTCCCTGGCTGGCACGCACCTGGAGCCTGCCTCCCTGTCACCTCACAGGAGCAGGGGTGGGGGTGGGGGTGGAAAGCACTGGGGCAGAGTCCACCTGAGCCTGGGAGCAAGCTGAAAGTGACATGTCATCACGCCAACGCCCTGCAGCCAGGGAAAGCCAGGCTCCTAGTTCCTCCACAGCCTTGGATGGCTACGACCCCTGCTAGCGGGCACTCAAAGCTACCCTCCGGGCCCGATGGGCAGAGGCCAAGGGCTCGCCAGCATCACTCAGCGAGTTCTTGCTAGGCAAAGCCTGCCAGCCTCCCAGCCAAGCTGGTGGCCATGCTAACAGTGTGCCCTGGGCCACTTCTGCCCCCCGAGGCTTTACTCCTTGAAGCAGGAGCCAGTCACCACCAGGCCAGGGAACAGTGATGCCTTCTTTGGCCTGCAGCACTCACAACAGCTGGTTGATGTGCCCCTGGACAGCACTGGCTGCCCTTCCACAGACAGGGGAAGCCAGCCTGGGGGCCGGACAGCACAGGCGCCCAGGGCAGCCACTGCTTCCTGAACCCTCGAAACCCACCTCCCTTGGCTTCCTCATTTCACAGGGTGAACTGCCCAAGGTCACATGGGGCAGCTGGTGGCACCGCCAGGGGCAGGGAGTGCTCCCTTCTCCCGGCCACCCCAGTGGGAGCCTGGCTCCTCTGGCGCCCGCGGCTGAAGCCTGCAGCCCTTCCGCAGGTGCATCTTCATAAACGCTCATAATAAAATCCCAAATTACGAAAGAGACGCATAACGCTAAAAGGCAATCATGTGAACATTTTTGGAAACGTGTGACGTGGGAATATATGTGCTTAATTACCTCCTTAAATTACACGATCAGCGGGCAGGGTGAATGGCTCCAGGAACTTCAGAGTAATGGTGAGTGAAGGAAATGTCTAGAAAAAACGCAAGACGATAGGCACTGAGCTTTGATTTCTGTTGGTGACAAAGTCCCCGGTACGGCGAACGCTCCTGGGCACTGCTGCCCACGTCCGTAACCGCCGGAAATGCTACATTCAGGAAGAGGTTTGGGAAAATACGGATGACATAAAGCTGGAAGGAAGCCGGCAAAGGATCTGTGCCCGGCCCCCGTTCCCGGCCCGACAGTAGTCCTGGCAACAGGGATAGTGGCGCAACCTCCAGGGTCATCAGCCTCCCAGAGACTTGTGACATGGGGGCGAACACAGTACCCATCTCGCCAAGTTGTGGTGACAACTTAAAAGTGTTGGCGCGAAAACGCGAGCAAGCACCATCCGGGTATTTCGCCTCTCGCCCAGGGTTTGGGGAAATTCAAATCGCGCAAAAGGGCGGACCCGAAAAGCCGCCGAACGCATGCGCGCGGGGGCGGGGTGCGGCGGCTCTGGGAAGAAAGCGGGATGACGTGAAGTGACGCGAGGTGACGCGGCACGACGCGAAGCGTTCCCGCGCCTGCCCGAGTGCTAGACTGCGGCCTCCGCACCTTCCGCTTGGCTCCCCGTCCTGCGACTGGCGGAGCGGAGGGCGGTCCGGGACTCGGGCTGCCCTCCGGTGTGCGGCCCGCTCCACCTTTGTTT